CCAAATGTCGAGAATGGCCATAAGGTTGAAAATTAAGAAGAAGAACAACTCAAGACCAAATCTAGGGCATAAAATAGGAAGGAGAGAAGGTGGCGCAGCGACTTAAACAAAAAATTGCGAGAGCTCGACATAAACTCTAACATCCTTTCATGCAGATCCTAATAGTCTATTAATGTTTATGCTTTCACATGTGTGGGCAACCCTTTATGTAAAATAAATTTTATTTTCGAATTTTAAGTATAACATCAAAAGTTGAATATCCATGTTATAGTATTGATGCATGGATAAAAATAAATTAATGACATAAGAATATGACAATAATTCTTCAAAAAGAAATAGAATAATTTTTTGATAATAATTTTCTAAAACAACTTTAGCAACACAAAACATAATCAAATGATTTTATGGTGAAAATCCTTTTGCATCAAATTCAACAATTTACAAAATTAGGGAGCATAGAAGATAATATAATGATGATATTAGGAACTAATTTTATTGTATGTGCATTAAATATTGCATGTGAATAAAATTAAAATATAAAATTCATATTATGAAAATTTTAAGTTGAAGAAGAAACATAGCCAAAATTTAAATTATGTGAAAGAGCATAATTTTATAAAAATTTAAAAAGAGGCAAACTAGCTAAACTGTTTGGCTAATTCCTAAAAAGCTAAACTATTTGGCACCTTACAGTTTGTCTAATTCTATAGAATTTGCCAAACTGTTTGGCTAATTCTTGATACCCAAATAGTTTGTATAAAATTAGTTGTATTTGTATATTTTGTGAATTTAATTGTAATATTATTGGTATATTTAATTTAATTATTTAACTTGCTGCTTATACATATTTTCGTTAAAAAAAACACTAATTTTCATAATTTATTCATATTAATTTTTATTTATAAAAAATATTTAATTATTAATTTATCTTTTATATTTAAAATAAAGGTATTTATATTTAAAAATAATTCCTCATTTAATTATTAATTTATCTTTTATATTTAAAATGTAATTTAAGTGTTAATTAATAATTTATGAGTAATTAAATATATATAATATTTCAGGACAAAATAAGCTGACTAAATGTTCATAAAATTATCTTTGCCAAAAAAAATTTGACGTAAAAATTATAAACAACATAAAATTTTATAAAATGTCTGAATTCGGAAGCAACATCCAACAATAATAAGAACATTGTATTGAATATCACATTCAGATAGAGACTGTTTGTGTATTATGAATTAAGCAAAATATACATAATTTGTTTAAATTATTCATTCATTAATTTACAAGTATTTTAATTTAACAAAATATACAAATACAACTAAGCCAAATAGTTTGGCTATTAAGAATTAGCCAAACAGTTTGGCTAGTTTGACTCTTTTTAAATTTTTGTAAAATTATGCTCATTCACATAATTTAAATTTTGTCCATGCTTCTTCTTAAAATTTATTCTATAAGATAATTTCATTGAAGTTATAATAAAAATGTTATTGCTATAAAATAAATGTAATCACCCACTTCACTTCTTTTCCGCTAGAACTCTCATTAGTCAGCTAAAATTAAGAACACAATTATAAAAATCCACTTAACTCTTTTAGAATCATATTTTAATTACTTTAAATTAAATATGCATTAACATATTTAGCTCTTACCTAGTTTTTCTCTGAGAACCATAACTTGATTATGATATTTCGTCTCAACTCAACAGTTAAATTCCTTCACTGCTCCAAAATGTGTTGAGCTAATTTAAATATTGTTAGACTAAATTTTGAAGAAGTCAAATGTTGTCAAATTATCATTGAACATATCATATGTTTTACGACAACATTGAATGTGTGAGCTCCTCTAAATTAACAAACCACATTTCTAATCATATTACACGTAATATTCCATGAAATTGATGGAAATTTTTCACTAAAATAACTTGCATTATTTACCTCAAAAACTTTTCTTCCTTTTTGAGTTGAAATCCTATAATTCGCAGCCTATTCTTTCTTCCTCCGTATCAAAGAAAGCAACTAATTACTTCAACAAAATTAGAAATCATAAAGTCATTCTCTCTAAATTAAATAAAAATTCCTTACTCTTCCTCCTTTGCCTCTATCTAGTACACAAATTCCTCTAATTAAGCACATGAATTCCTCTCATCAAGCACAGATCTTTTGTCAGTCAACAACGGTAAGAAACTCTCCAACTTTCTCTTTCTCAACCTCTCTCTCTTCTCACCCAACCCTCTCTTCCTCTCGGCCATTGTTCCCAGCTTCTCTCTTTCTCTCGTTCGGCTTTACTGGACATAGCGAAATCAACTTATCTCACACGAGTCTCGTCCCTCTGCTCACGATAGCTCTCGAATCCAGTCGCGCTCGAGCCGCAACCATCTGCTCGTTGCTTCTCTCGACGGCTCGTTTGCCCGGTGCTTTGCAAAAAGGGACCGGTTCGATTGAAATGTCCAAAACACCCAGTTCTTACAGTACCTCCTTTATGGGGGAGTAGTGGACTGGAAAGCTCATGGTACAAGTGTGTATGTGTGGCCAAGGGGGAGTATCATGAGGAAATTTCGATTGGCTTGTTTTATAGTCTAAAAAGGTAATTCATACAAGGATGCCAAAATACAATCCTCCAAGAATTTGAAAGTGATTCACAAGGAGCTTCTGTCAGAATCACTAAATGGCTAGGTCAATATTTTCAAAGGATATAGTATCAAATAAGTCCACAGGTGTCAGGGAGAAGTGAGAACTATTCAAGGAAATGCCACAGATTCATTCTACTCAAATATTCTCAAAAAGAAAATTGTTCCTCTACACGCTAAGTTGAACTTAAATATTATTTAATAAGTTAGAATCAAAGCTGATAAGGCCTCGCGTGTTTGTGATTTACTTTGGTATTACATAGGGATATTACTTCTGGTAATAAATAGGATATTGCAATGCCATTATGTTGGCAAAATTGAAGTCAAAAGGGTGGTGTTCCTTGATGCTCGCTATTACTTATTCTTATTTAAGATGGCCTCCTGCACTACCACCATCATGATTCTTTTGTTCATTCCATTCAAAATTTCCATGTTGCTTTAAAATAGCAAGACTCACCCTTCATCAATCTTTGACTATTTGGCTAACTAGGACATTCTTTTAGCCTAGTTTTTTGATGGATCTTCATGTTTTATAGATTATGGCACAATTTGCGTTAATGTTTAATTGATCTGTGTATATGCTCGTTTGTGCATGGATTTTACCTCTACTATATATTCTCTCCACAACCTCTGTGCTAACCTAAACAATGTAAGCAATCATAGCGTTCCTTCTAATTTTCAAGTAATTTGTGAATTAGCATTACCTAATTATATTACACCTCTGTTTTAGGCCTTACATTTAAATCAGTTGATGTTTTTTTATCTTTCTGAAGCTATGCCTGTAGTTTTGACTATGCTGATGGTCGTATAAGCTTGTTTTCTTTAGGATATTTGTTGTTTTTGTACCTATTTTATATGCATATTGGGACTTGTTTATATCAAGATTCATATGCAGCCATAAGTATTTAACCTAGTGGTTGAACCAACTCTTCTGTTAAATTGGCAGATTTTTACATTATAACATCTGATGTCCTTACTCAAAATAGATGATCTTAATGCCTTCTGGCTTAACTGCTAAATTGAGAGCAATTAAAGTATTTCCCAATAACTACCTTCTTATTGATGATCTTAATTCCATAGATTATGAAGCACTAAGATTTCTATTTTTTCCTTTGTGCATCAGTTGAGTATTGGCAATTGCTAATTGGATATTGGTTGAAGCTTTAGATTTATATGTTACCTCCCTGGTTTCTTGATTGTTTCTTCCTCGTGACCTTTCAGGATAATGCCAACTCTTTGAAAGCTCAGTTAGAACAACAGAAAAGCGTGGTTGACAATTTAGTTTCTAACACTCGGGTGAGTCTGGAAACTCCTTTGTATAAATTATTTATTTTTTTGTTCTAAGCTTCATTTTGTTCTGTTTTTTTTTTTTTTTTTTTTTTTTTTTTTTTTTTGTCAGCTTCCTTTATAAGTCATTGTTGCTGTGATGTTACAAGTGACACCTGCTTTCTAAGAGTTTTAGAGTTGAATTTTTATTTGGCAAATTACACATCTCGAAGGTTTAGGGAACACTTCTGTAGTCCATGTTTGTAGACCTTTTAGTTTTCACTGAGTTTCCGGATTAATTTTTATTCTTCAATCTGGTGCCTGATGCCACGAGAATTCTGTCTTTAGAAAATCACAATCAATTGCTGTCATGCGGTCTTCCACCTTACTATCAAGTGAATGTTGGATATTTTTATCGACTGCAATACCCCTCCTATGCAATAAAATCGATTCCTCACCTTCCTCCCTCTACTGGTTTATATAAAAGTAAACTTAAATTTTAAGTTCGATTCTTATTGAAAAGATGAGTTGATAAAATTTGAATTTAATAAATATAGGATTGTGAAACTCATAATATTTGATTTTACATTCATATTAGGCTTTCAATGCTTTTTTAAAAAAATCATTATAAAATGCAAACTCTTGAGCTCAATGCTATCTATACTCTACTCTATCAATCTTACTATCGATACTTACTCTATTACTATATAAATAAACAGTTCTTGAATTTTCCCCCCTCTTTTTTTTGTAATACAAATCATGGAGTTTGTTTATGGACAACTTTTTACTTGGAAGGACACTATTAAAATAAGCTTTTATTGCTATTAGGTTAAATTCAACAGTGAGATTTGCTTGTCCTTTCTTATTGGTTAGCTTTTAAATTCATAACAACTTCCATTTATAAAGTTACTTGAAATAAACTTATCTTTTTTTGTAGCTTTTGGAGAGCAAGATACAGGAGGCAAGGTCTAAGAAAGATACACTAAAGGCTCGGGCACAATCTGCAAAGTCTGTTCTTTTGCCTTCTAAAATGATGGTGTACACGTTACTTTCTTCCATCTTTTGATCCTTAAAAGGTTTGTGTGCTTTCTATATTTTGTAGGACTGCAACAAAAGTTAGCGAGATGTTGGGAAATGTCAATACTAGTAGCGCTCTTTCAGCATTTGAGAAGATGGAGGAAAAGGGTATGTTCTTTCACTTTATATATTATATTGAAGAAAATCTTGGGCGAATTCTATTAAATTAATGATATAGTTTATGGTTGTCGTGCAAAACGGGAACCATTGTTAATAGTTAATTGGTAACAATATATTATGTGGTAACTTTATGGTACTTGAAACTTGAAGTCCCTGTTTAGTTGGATGACAAAGATAAACAGTTTAGTTTCAAACACTATTACTTTTAGAGTCAAAATTTAAGTTTTGTAGAAAATTCCCAATTCAAAATATTTGCGATGAGAATCTCGGCTGTTCTAAGGAAATGCAGCCTACTTAATGTGCTTTTATCTGCTTAGATTTTTCGTTTTTACCATTAATTTTGTTGTTTACCATGCTGTATTAGAAGGTAGCATGTTTCTTGATGTTGTCTGAGCATTCCTTTTTTATGTGCATTGTTAACCTGTAAGCTATATGATATCCTATCCCATAGGACATGGCAAAATGGTGAATTCCTTAGTTAAAAAAAGAAGAATGTATCCAATATCCAAGCTCGACAGATAGTAGAAATGGCATTCTATTCAGTTTTGAAGGACAGTTTGCTGATGCTATTAGGATCACAAATTTAAAGCCTATTTGGGACGGGTTTCTTATTGTTTCTTAAAACAATTTTTTAGTAAAAAATTTTAATTTTTTACTAAAAAGTTGTTTTAAGAAGCAATAAAAAAGCCGTCTCAAACGAAACCTTAGAAAGTACCGCAAAATTTGTGCTATGCAATACTGTTATAGTCATTTGGCGTTATCTTAACCCCTTTTGGGCCTTATTAAATCTAGAGATAACTTTCATCATTCCTTTTTTTTCTGTACACGCTGACTTGAGTTGGAAACAGTTATGGCAATGGAGTCCCAAGCAGAGGCCCTTAACCAGCTTACTACTGATGATCTCGAAGGAAAGGTGATATCCCTATAGTAAAGCTATCTGTGCATTTTTCCCATCAGCTTGTCATACTACCTCACAGAAAGGAATTTTGTTTGGTTTTATAGTTTGCATCACTTGAGAGTTCTTCGGTGGATGATGATCTGGCTAAGCTGAAAAGAGAACTATCAGGGAAATCACTGGTATTATCTGTTGTTCTTCCTTTTCTTTTTCAACCATTATTCATACTGTAATGTTCTAGTTAAGCCTTCATTTATCAACTCATTACGATTAAATTTGAAGAAACCATCCTCTTATTGCAGTTTATCCTGAGTAAACCTTGGTTGACTGTATTTTTGGTGACTCCATTTTTGTTGCCACTTTGCAACCAGTATTTACCAGTTTGAACCGCTTATCTGAATTTACTTAGCCCCAAAGAACCTATTCGAATCTTAGTAAAATGAACTAAAAGTGTGATCACTTAGATCTTTGAAAGATTTTGACCGCTAGATCTTTGAAAATTATTACCAAGATATTGGGATTGGATCCCGCCATATTAAATCTAAAGAAAAAGAAATACAAAGAGAGCTTCTTGCATTGGAAACCATGGATTTATCACTTTGGACTCAAATGCATCAGTTAAGCAATTAGTGCATGTATTTCATGAGTAGTTGTACAGTTCTGCTCTGTACAACTTCAGTTGTGCTTCATAAACTTCATTAGCATTGTACTTTCTACTACCAAGGAATCCTTCATCAATATAAATCAGTGTAAGATCCAACAATTTTGTATGTACTGCATATTCATATTGATATTTTTGCTACTTAGTAGCAAAAGGGTTTGATTAGCTCCAGTGGAAGATAAGATTAGAGAGAGTCGCCTTAGATGATTTGGTCACATAAAATGGCAGCCTTTCGATGACCCGGATAGGAAAGTAGAGGTATTAGATTTGACTTCTGTTAAGAAAATTAGATGTAGACCTAAAAAGACTTGGTTAGAAAATATTAGAAATGATCTTTCTTTATTAGATTTAAACGAGAGTTTAAATATGCTGTCAAATGAAGGCTTAGTTGGTAAGAAGGCTAATCGAGATTTATGTTTGTAGAGAGGATAATTTGCATAAAGCTATTCTTACAAAATGGTACAAAGTTTTTTTGATAATCAATGTCATAAGTTAGTTTAAAATAAATTCTTTTGTAATAAGTATAGAACTCATCGAAATTATAATAACAAAAAGTCAAAAATCATTGGTGACTACACCGATGTATTTTCCGTCAACAGAACCAATGAAAAATATGGCAGTACAGAGGGTGAAGCAACACCAAGGAGAACAAAAGAGGGCAAGCCAAAACATATAAATATAATTCTTTTGTTTGTTACTATGATCTTCTTATTTTTTTTATCAATTAGGCTTCATTTTGGATAGTTTTCTTATTGATTTATGAAGTAGTTTTCTAGTATAAAAAATTTTAACATTTTAAAAAAACCCATTTTGACACATCTATTCAAGTTATAACTTAAAAGAAATTTGCTACACTATCAAGTAGATTACATATCAATCCATTATCTAATGGTATGAAAACATTTTAAGTCTAATTTTAGGGCATCCTATCATTACTTTTTCATACTGGTAGGATCATTCACAATATTCAAGATTTAGTTAAAATAAAAAAGAGAAGGCTATTTTAGAATATTTGATTAATAAAATTTTAACATTTAAAAAAAAAAGATAAATATAGTGCATATGTAATTAATATTATATCTATTTTAAATAGCCTTCTCAGCCTCGTCGCCCTCAAAGAAATCCACCTCAGTCTTCTCTTCCGTATCTGCGGTCTCTCCACCCGAACACTCACCATTGACGTCGGCGGTGGAAACACCGCCACATCCCTCCACATCTGGATCCCGCGTTGTCGGCGACCACAAAAACACACCTTCCTCCTCATTCACAGATTCGGCGGTAACTCTAAGTGGCAATTTCATCGCCAGATCGGCCCGCTTTCCCGTTCTTTCGATCTTTACATCCCCGACTTGGTTTACTTCGGCCGGTCACTCTCCTCAAGCGGTGAGCGATCGGTGGGGTTCCAATCGCAATGCGTGTCTGCGGCTATGAGGGGTTTGGGGGTGGAGAAGTACTCAGTAGCGGGGATCAGTTACGGTGGTTTTGTGGCTATGAATTTCAAGCACATGCAAAAATTAACCTCAATAAAAAATTAAAACCACAAACATCATTACATCAATCCACAAACAAACATCAATACATATTCATGCATATTAATTTAAAAAAAAAGGCGCGCATCCCACATTAATATTTATTTGCATATCAATCTGTGTGCTTCCTGCGCTGTGCTTCCTCCCGCTTTGCTTCCCGCCGTGCTTCCCGCTTTGCTTCTCGCTGTGCTTCCCGCTGCTCCAGGACGTGAGCTTCTAGCTCACATTTTGTCTTGAACTGATTTGCACAATCCACGCATGTATATTTTAATTTTTTTTGCAATTTCTTATTATGCTCCTTGAGACCTTCCTTGGAACTAAATCGCCTAGCTTCATTTTTTTGCATTTGAGGCACAGAAATCCTCCTCCCGAACCCATTTGTACAGGGAACAGGAGGAAGAGGGTGGCAGAGGAATGGCGGAATGGCAGAGGATGTGGGTGGGAGAAGTAAGAATGAACATGTTCAGGTTTTATAACAAGTATCCACGTACCCGAATTCCGAAGGTTGTCCTGTTACTTGTTATAAAATGTGGATACTTGTGGGCAACCTTCGGAGTTCGGGTACGTGGATACTTGTTATAAAACCTGAACATGTTCATTTTTACTTCTCCCACCCACATCCTCCGCCATTCCGCCATTCCTCTGCCACCCTCTTTCTCCTGTTCCCTGTACAAATGGGTTCGGGAGGAGGATTTTTGTGCCTCACATGCAAAAAAAAACGAAACTAGGCGATTTAGCTCCAAGGAAGGTCTCAAGGAGCATAATAAGAAATTGCACAAAAAATTAAAATATACATGCGTGGATTGTGCAAATCAGTTCAAGACAAAATGTGAGCTAGAAGCTCACGTCCTGGAGCAGCGGGAAGCACAGCGGGAAGCAAAGCGGGAGGAAGCACAGCGCAGGAAGCACACAGATTGATATGCAAATAAATATTAATGTTGGACGCGCGCCTTTTTTTTTTTAAATTAATATGCATGGATATGTATTGATGTTTGTTTGTGGATTGATGTAATGATGTTTGTGGTTTTAATTTTTTATTGAGGTTAATTTTTGCATGTGTTTGAAATTCATAGCCACAAAACCACCGTAACTGATCCCCGCTACTGAGTACTTCTCCACCCCCAAACCCCTCATCGCCGCAGACACGCATTGCGATTGGAACCCCACCGATCGCTCACCGCTTGAGGAGAGTGATCGGCCGAAGTAAACCAGGTCGGGGATGTAAAGATCGAAAGAACGGGCAAGCGGGCCGATCTGGCGATGAAATTGCCACTTAGAGTTACCGCCGAATCCGTGGATGAGGAGGAGGGCGTGTTTTGTGGTCGCCGGCGACGCGGGATCCAGATGTGGCGGTGTTTCCACCGCCGACGTCAATGGTGAGTGTTCGGGTGGAGAGACCGCAGATATGGAAGAGAAGACTGAGGTGGATTTCTTTGAGGGCGACGAGGCTGAGAAGGCTATTTAAAATAGATATAATATTAATTACATATGCACTATATTTATCTTTTTTTTTTAAATGTTAAAATTTTATTAATCAAATAGTCTATAATAGCCTTCTCTTTTTTATTTTAACTAAATATTGTGAATGATCCTACCAGTATGAAAAAGTAATGATAGGATGCCCTAAAATTAGACTTAAAATGTTTTCATACCATTAGATAATGGATTGATATGTAATCTACTTGATAGTGTAGCAAATTTCTTTTAAGTTATAACTTGAATAGATGTGTCAAAATGGGTTTTTTTTTTTAAATGTTAAAATTTTTTATACTAGAAAACTACTTCATAAATCAATAAGAAAACTATCCAAAATGAAGCCTAATTGATAAAAATAATAAGAAGATCATAGTAACAAACAAAAGAATTATATTTATATGTTTTGGCTTGCCCTCTTTTGTTCTCCTTGGTGTTGCTTCACCCTCTGTACTGCCATATTTTTCATTGGTTCTGTTGACGGAAAATACATCGGTGTAGTCACCAATGGTTTTTGACTTTTTGTTATTATAATTTCGATGAGTTCTACACTTATTACAAAAGAATTATTTTAAACTAACTTATGACATTGATTATCAAAAAAACTTTGTACCATTTGGTAAGATTAGCTTTATGCAAATTATCCTCTCTACAAACATAAATCTCGATTAGCCTTCTTACCAACTAAGCCTTCATTTGAGATGGCTCTCTTACTGTTTATTAAAGTAATTTTTTTAGTAAAAAATTAAAATTGATATTATTGTTGTAGCAAAAGGGCATCTCCTATATAATAAATGATCCTGAACAATTCAAATATGCTGTCACTACACAATCAATTCTATAAGCTTTTCTTGCATGTACTGATTTCATTTTTCTTGAACAGAAAGGAGAGCTTCCTGCTGGTAGAACGGCAATCAGCAGCTCAAGTGGAGCATTTCCTTTCCGAGATATAGAGATTGAGAATGAACTTAATGAGCTGAGAAGGAAGTCCAAGGAATTATAGATTACCATTTGGCAGCTTAGAAGTTCTTTGCATATTTTCAGTGCTGCAGCTCAATCAAAATGTGCAGCAGTTCTTATGCTGTTTATGGATCTGATTGCTGCATTGTTTGATTAGAAAATATACAAATGGCACATAAATGGATGTACATTGGCATCAAAATTTTTGTAAAATAACGAACTTTTAGCTTCTTTTTTCTTGTTTAATGTAAAACTGGCGTACCAAGTACATGATGCTTCTGCAAAATCATTCTTGCATTGTTAAAATTGTGTTTTTCATTACCAATATCATCACAAGTTTTTTATTATTATTATTATTTTTTTTTTTTTTTTTTTTTTTTTTTTTTTTGTTTAAAGGATAGTTGATCAGTTTTTTTTTTTTTTTTTCAAAATGCATGTATTTTAAAAATACTAAGGGATGGTTGGTTTTTTAATAAAAAGGAGTGCAATGTAAAAGGAATGCTTTGATGTTGTTAGGATAATTGTAAAATTAGGGTATAAACGAGTAGAGTTGACTATATGCTTAATCGAGTTAAATTTGTTTAGTTCTTTCTGAGGTCGAGCTCGAACTCGAGCTTGTTTGCTAACTTGAGCTCGACTCATTAAAAAATTTATATGCTTGAGCTCGGCTCAATTGCTCAAGTTCGTTTGGAAAGCTCGAGCTTAACTTGATCGTGGAGCTTGATTTTTAAGTTCCAAGTTAAAATTTTTAATTTTCTTAAGAATTTTTATTTTTAATATAGAATTAATTTAAAAGATAAAAATATATTATATAATGCTAATTTAAATTAATTTTTAAATATGTATTTTTTATTAATCGTGTGGCTCAATGAGCTTTCGAGCTGAGTCAAGTTAAACTTGAGCTCGTTTAATATATAAATTTGAGCATAAGCTCAAAATTGTGGCTCAATAAGTTCGACTCGTAAGCTTGTTTATGAGTCAAGCTCGAGTCGGCTTGGCTCATTGCTTATTTATGAGTCAAGCTCGAGTCGGTTTGGCTCATTTATACTTCTAGTATAAAATAAATAAAAGTGTTTTTTATTTTTAGTTTGAAGTAAATTGAATGTAGTGTAAAGTTCAAAGATAATGACGGTAATAAGCGATTATGATTGTGGTGACCGGTGGTAGGAGACAGCATAAGCTAAACTTAGTATGACTAATGACTTATTCATTAAATGGAGAAGAAATTTTACACATTTTCTTGCATTGCTCTCAAATTCTTTATTGAAAAGCGCCCAAAGTGAGATGCAGGTAAAGCAAAGACATTACATTCTTTGACAGAAATAAAAGATGATGGTGATGGTTTCTTGTAGGTTTGTAAAGATTGGAGAGTTGTGTTGGGGAGTATCAGAACATGGCAGATGGCAAGAAATTAAGCAGCAACAGCCTTGTCTCAAGATTAGGTTAGTAGAATTGAAATTATAGAAGTTTGAACTTGAAAGACTGAATATAGAATGTAAAGAAAGAAAAAGTTTGGTTGCCCGGTAAACGAGAAATCATTCTCTACGGAATCCGGACGGAAAGAATCGTTCAGATATGTGAGTGTAAATATTGTGTATAAATTTGTAGATAGAGTGTATCAACTTTTTGTACATATTATTTGTACACAGGGTATACACTTACAGTCCGGACGGTTCTTCTCGTCCGGACTCCACACAGAATAATTTCTCCTAATAAACATAGTCGGTTCTTTTTAATTGTGGTTATGGTTCTCCTTTGAAATTTCTGATTTTTTTTTTTAAATGATCTCAATAATTTCTGTAGTTTTTATGTTAGAGATGGCTAATTTTCATGCCCAAAAAGCTTAAAGAATAAAAAATAATTGCAAATATAATATTTTCAAGTGAAATTTCTATTGAGTTTTGATTAAATTTTGATATATTTTTGATTATTTCTGTTTAGTTTTGACTGAATTTTGCAGAGTTGGTGGAAATTATTGGAGTAGCTGAATTTTAGGCGGTTACCTTTAAATTTTCTTTATGGATTAATTAGTCTTTAGGGTTTCTAACTCTCTGCAGTGAAATTTTATACAAAATTCTGTGGAGTATTCAGCATTGGTCTTTTACTTTATTTTTGTTGGTGGGAGAAAGGAAAACAACCATGGCCTTTTTCAAAGCTTGGTGAGAGGAGAAAAAAATGTCTGGTTTGGTAATCCTTTCTTTAAAATTTACTAAAAGCTACAGGTATTCAAATAGTGCAGGATGACCTGCAATATTCAAATCAAGAGTGTTAGAATGGATTAATTGGTCGGGTTATGTTTTGACCCGAAATTGACCCGACTTAGTTTTAGTCATCTAGAATCTTGCCTGCTCAATTTCATACAAATTTCTATGGAGTATTCAGCATTGGTCTTCTACTTTATTTTTGTTGGTGGGAGAAAAGGAAAACAACCATGGCCTTTTTCAAATGTTGGTGAGAGGAGAAAAAAATGTCTGGTTTGGTAATCCTTTCTTTAAAATTTACTAAAAGCTACAGGTATTCAAATAGTGCAGGATGACCTGCAATATTCAAATCAAGAGTGTTAGAATGGATTAATTGGTCGGGTTATGTTTTGACCCGAAATTGACCCGACTTAGTTTTAGTTATCTCGAATCTTGCCTGCTCAATAAATTGGTCAAAATGATTAATCCAAACCCGGCCCTCAGCAACATGGATAGCCCAAATCAGTCCGATTTGATTAGAAAAAAAATTATGACTTGTTAATTATGGAGTTAAATGAGAATTTGACTCTTTACAAGACAATAATGGAGAAAAAAAATTATGTAGTGAGATAAAAGCTTGACGTTGTTGTTGTTGTTAACTATAAAGTTAAAGTTAATTGATAAAAAATAAGAAGTTCATTATCAACAAGTAAAGAATTTAAGAAAAAAATATTAAATTGGTCTTTTTTCAAATCAAAAATATATTTTCTAGTGAACCTGAATCTGATCCATTTAATAAACATGTTGGAATTCCAAACAAGAACCCGACATGTTTATTAAACAAGTTAACCCAAATTTTAACTTTTCAGGTTAGTTTCAGGTCTAGTCGGGTTGCGGATCGGATCAAACGCCTTAAACGCAATAACCATAAGTCATTCATCAAGAAGGGCCCAAACTTTAATTCTAAAAATTGAAACCATTACAACCTTCAAGACAATTGAGTCATTGCCACGTATCAAGCCTACTAAAAAGAGCTTGAAAGACCTTCTTTGAAATTCTAATTGGAGAAAGAGGTATATTAAAATATTAAGAAGGAAAGGAGATTCTAAGAATACTAAGGATATCACAAATGGCTAAAAAATTGTCCACAAATTTAGAATAGTAGATGTCAAACTTACTTGGGTTAGCAATAAGCACCTTCAACTACCAAAAACATATAGAGATTCCTACTAGTAATTTTTATATCATTAACATGCCCAAACAAGTCATTAAAAGAGAAGCATGAAATTAAGTTAAGTTTTGCAGAGATGAGGATGCTTAGGTGGATAAGTGATTTCACTCTTTTAAAGACAGAATGCGAAACGAGCGTATACGTGAAAAAGTTAGAGTAGCTCCAATGGAAGATAAGATAATAGAGAATTTTACTTAGATGAATTGGTTACAAACAACGTCAGCTTTTCGATAAACCAGTTAGGAGAGTAGATGTATTAGATTTGATTTGTACTAAGAAAGATAGAGGTAGATCAAAAAAAGACTTGATCATCTCCTTCTAATTATTTTTTTGCATCTATCTTTTCATATTCTAATTTTAAGTTCATATACAAGTTGTGATTTACAACATAAAAATTATTCATGTATGAATCAAACTTCATTTATTTAATAAACACTTCAACATATAAAAATTCAACCCCAAAACGAGAAAAGTCCATCACACACAACTTTTTTTTTATTAGACTTCCTTTGAGATATTTTTTTTATTGATTTCATCTTTTAGTACAAAAATATCTTAAACTAAAAATTTTTGTACTGAAAAGCTGCTTTTGAAAGCAGTAAAAAAGCTCTCTCAAATGAAGCCTTGGGACAGCTTTCTTCTTGCTTTATAAAGCGGCTTTCTAGTACAAAATTTTCTTGAATTTAAACTTTTTGTACTAAAAAGCCATTTTAAAAAGCAGTACGAAAGCTATCTCAAACGAAGCCTTAGTCTTAAATAAGATTTTTCATTCACTTAGTTGATTATATTTACTTTTAGTTGTTTGATATATGATAAGAATACCATTTTGTGTTTGAAAAAAACCATGAAACTTTTGCTGCCATTCATGACTTTGATTGTAGTCAGAGTCTTGTAATTCATACCTCATTAATCTTTTTAATGAGAAGTCAATGTCCTTATTTCTCTTCCATCCCCAGCCTTTAAAATAAAAAAGAAAAAGATAAATAAGAAGTCTATTCAATATTAGCTTATTATGACTTTATAAACTACTAATAGCTAAGTCTCCCTTTAATGGAGCATAAAGTCAATATGATCAATAGAATATTTGTTGAAATGCAACCAAAAAAAGGAGCTCAGTTCATATCTTCATTGATTTAAAGCTAAAATAAGACATTCTTCTTTTAAAAAATAAGAAAATAATTTAACTTTTTCTGGAGAGTAAAGTCAATAAAATTTCATTTTGAGCCTAAAGAGTTCTCTTTATTCAATGTTCCATCAACAACCAGCCTCTTCATGAATGTAAGTCAACTAGAAATTTATTTTAACCATCCTTTGATTCTCACCAAAACCCAAACCTTATAAATACACCTAGCTACTTGATTGAAGCCATGATTAAAAAATAATAATATTATTAAATTTTTAATCATTTTAGTTAAATTAGGGAAATAGTTATTTTAAATTAGTTAATATAATTTTAATCATTATTGTTAAATTATTTAAAATCTGACGGAAACAAATCCGACGGAAAAAAGCCGTAAAATCTGTTGAAAATCGGTCAATTTCATCATATTCTATTAGAAAGCTGACGAAAATCCGCTAGAAAATTGTCCGCCAAAAATCCGTCGGAAAATTCCGTTGGTAATTAATAATTTTCTTGTAGTGATAAATGTAATCTTCTTTACTAGGGGTATTAGTCGTAAAACATGTAATATATTCTTAGATATTTTTGTAAGTTGGCAGTCCTATATTTTATATTCAGTAATTATTGTACTTAGTATATTTCATTTTATTTTCATAATGAAATATCATGTCATATATGTAGTTTTACCTTGATTAAATTTTTATGGCATAAATTCCCTAATATTGAAATTATCTTTATGATAGTAAGATATATTTTCGTAGCGTTGCCTTAAGTT